ACACACAGCAGTGCAGGAGTACATTCACCAGGTGGAACCAGACAGGTGTGAACCCCAGCATGAACCGGTTGAACCTGTTCGGGGAGAGGTGTGTGTGTGTAGTCAGAGGTTCTCTTGATCCCAGGGACTAGGATTATGATCCTCTTCCTCGGATCAAAACCTATAGGCCTCCCTGTGTGATTATTTTAATAAATAATAATAATAATTCTTGTAGGATTCATTCTCTGCCTCACAATCAACAGCACCCGGGTTGAATCCTGGGCAAGGGGAACATTCCTCTTAGCAGTAATATGGTAGAGGCAGGTCACGCTTTACAGCGCTTTGCTTTATAGCACTTTACATTAAAGTGCTTTGCTTTACAGCACTTTGCTCTACAGTGCTTCGCTTTACTGAACTTTACAGAGTTTAGTTTTACAGCATTTTGATTTACAGTGCTTTGCTTTACAGCACTACATTATAGTGCTTTGCTTTACAGCACTTTACATTATAGTGCTTTGCTTTACAGCACTTTGCTTTACAGTGCTTCGCTTTACAGCGTTCCACTAATACATCAGTTTTCAGTTATACACATTCTTCATTATTCAAACTTCCTACAATAAATACATTCATCACTATAAACTAAAGATGAGAGTATTTTATGGTAAGTAACGTGTGTACTGTATAAAAATTTTTTAGGCCTGTCTCCGTCGCTCATTTAATATATGTTAGTAGAAACATGTTATCAGGCTTTTATATGTATTTTGAAGGGTAGTAGCCCGAATGTTAGCCTGCTGTATAAGCGGGGCCTCCTTCACAGCCATAGCCCGGGTCCTAACCTGCTATACAAGCAGGGCCTCCTGCACAGCGGGATCCTGGGTCCTAACCTGCTGTATAAGTGGGGCCTCCTTCACAGCAGTAGCCCGACTGTTAACCTGCTGTATAAGCGGGGCCTCCTTCACAGCAGTAGCCCGACTGTTAACCTGCTGTATAAGCGGGGCCTCCTTCACAGCCATAGCCCGGGTTCTAACCTGCTTTACAAGCAGGTCCTCCTTCACAGCGGGATCCTGGGTCCTAACCTGCTGTATAAGTGGGGCCCTCCTTCACAGCCATAGCCCGGGTCCTAACCTGCTATACAAGCAGGCGCTCCTTCACAGCGGGAGCCCGGATCCTAACCTGCTGCATAAGCGGGGCCCTCCTTCACAGCAGGAGCCCGGATCCTAACCTGCTGTATAAGCAGGGCCCTCCTTCACATCAGTAGCCCGGAACCTAACCTGCTGTATAAGCGGGGCCCTCCTGTACCTGGGTGTTAGGTGTAGTGGACGACATCCTGGGGAAGAGCACCTACGGACTATAGATGGAAGCAAGCCACACTGCTTGACTTTCCTGGGTTACTAACCCTCTGGAGTTAATCTATCGTATCAGATTCCATTCACGGTTGTAATTGGGTCTCAGACCCAATTACAGGCGGTCTCCAAGCCAATTACCCCCGTTGTTCCTCAGTTACTGTTACAACTCAGCGGGAGGGAAGACCCAGGGGAGACATGATTATGATATACGAGATACTCAAGGAACTCATTATGTGTGAAAGAAATATGATGTGAAATGATCATCACAAGTGGTGACAGCAGACTTCATACGCAGTTTTATGAGTTGGAATGACACAGGCCGATGTGAAGAAGAATTTAGTGTCTGTGTAATTGAGAATCATTTTCAGGAGCCAAGATTCATGTGTGTGCGTGCGTGCGTGTGTGTGTGTGTGTGTGTGTGTGTGTGTGTGTGTGTGTGTGTGTGTGTGGTGTTGTGGTGTGTGTGTGTGTGTGTGTGTGTGTGTGTGTGTGTGTGTGTGTGTGTGTGTGTGTGTGTGTGTGTGTGTGTATGTGTGTGTGTGTGTGTGTGTGTGTGTGTGTGTTGTGTGTATGTGTGTGTGTGTGTGTGTGTGTGTGTGTGTGTGTGTGTGTGTGTGTGTGTGTGTGTATGTTTGTGTTTGTGTGTGTGTGTTTGTGTGTGTGTGTGTGTATGTGTGTGTGTGTGTGTGTGTTTGTGTGTGTGTGTGTGTGTGTGTGTGTGTGTGTGTGTGTGTGTGTGTGTGTGATATATATATATAATATATATATATATATATATATATATATATATATTATATAATATATATTATATAGGTTGGTAGACAGCAACCACCCAGGGAAGTACTACCGTCCTGCCAGATGACTGTGAAACAAAAACCTGTAACTGTTTTGCATGATGGTAGGATTGCTGGTTTCTTTTTCTGTCTCATAAACACGCTAAGATAACAGGGATATCTTGCTACTCCTACTTACACTTTGGTCACACTTCACAGACACGCACATGCATATATATATACATACATCTAGGTTTTTCTCCTTTTTCTAAATAGCTCTTGTTCTTTTTTTATTTCTTCTATTGTCCATGGGGAAGTGGAAAAGAATCTTTCCTCCGTAAGCCATGCGTGTCGTATGAGGCGACTAAAATGCCGGGAGCAATGGGCTAGTAACCCCTTCTCCTGTATACAATTACTAAAAAAGAGAAGAAGAAAAACTTTATAAAACTTGGTTGCTTAAATGTGCGTGGATGTAGTGCGGATGACAAGAAACAGATGATTGCTGATGTTATGAATGAAAAAGATAGTTGGATGTCCTGGCCCTAAGCGAAACAAAGCTGAAGGGGGTAGGAGAGTTTCAGTGGGGGGAAATAAATGGGATTAAATCTGGAGTATCTGAGAGAGTTAGAGCAAAGGAAGGGAGCAGGTAATGTTAAATGTCAGTTATGGAAGGAGAAAAGAGAATATGAATGTGTAAATTCAAGAATTATGTGGATTAAAGTAAAGGTGGATGCGAGAAGTGGGTCATAATAAGCGTGTATGCACCTGGAGAAGAGAGGAATGCAGAGGAGAGAGAGATTTTGGGAGATGTTAAGTGAATGTATAGGAGCCTTTGAACCAAGTGAGAGAGTAATTGTGGTAGGGGACTTGAATGCTAAAGTAGGAGAAACTTTTAGAGAGGGTGTGGTAGGTAAGTTTGGGGTGCCAGGTGTAAATGATAATGGGAGCCCTTTGATTGAACTTGTATAGAAAGGGGTTTAGTTATAGGTAATACATATTTTAAGAAAAAGAGGATAAATAAGTATACACGATATGATGTAGGGCGAAATGACAGTAGTTTGTTGGATTATGTATTGGTAGATAAAAGACTGTTGAGTAGACTTCAGGATGTACATGTTTATAGAGGGGCCACAGATATATCAGATCACTTTCTAGTTGTAGCTACACTGAGAGTAAAAGGTAATGGGATACAAGGAGAATAGAAGCATCAGGGAAGAGAGAGGTGAAGGTTTATAAACTAAAAGAGGAGGCAGTTAGGGTAAGATTATAAACAGCTATTGGAGGATAGATGGGCTAATGAGAGCATAGGCAATGGGGTCGAAGAGGTATGGGGTAGGTTTAAAAATGTAGTGTTAGAGTGTTCAGCAGAAGTTTGTGGTTACAGGAAAGTGGGTGCAGGATGGGAAGAGGAGCGATTGGGGAATGAGTGATGTAAAGAGAGAAGTAAGGGAGAAAAAGTTAGCATATGAGAAGTTTTTACAAAGTAGAAGTGATGCAAGGAGGGAAGAGTATATGGAGAAAAAGAGAGAAGTTAAGAGAGTGGTGAGCAATGTAAAAGAGAGCAAATGAAGAGGGGTGAGATGTTATCAACAAATTTTGTTGAAAATAAGAAAAAGTTTTGGAGTGAGATTAACAAGTTAAGAAAGCCTAGAGAACAAATGGATTTGTCAGTTAAAAATAGGAGAGGGAGAGTTATTAAATGGAGAGTTAGAGGTATTGGGAAGATGGAAGGAAATATTTTGAGGAATTGTTAAATGTTGATGAAGATAGGGAAGCTGTGATTTCGTGTATAGGGCAAGGAGGAATACATCTTGTAGGAGTGAGGAAGAGCCAGTTGTGAGTGTGGGGGAAGTTCGTGAGGCAGTAGGTAAAATGAAAGGGGGTAAGGCAGCCGGGATTGATGGGATAAAGATAGAAATGTTAAAAAGCAGGTGGGGATATAGTTTTGGAGTGGTTGGTGCAATTATTTAATAAATGTATGGAAGAGGGTAAGGTACCTAGGGATTGGCAGAGAGCATGCATAGTTCCTTTGTATAAAGGCAAAGGGGATAAAAGAGAGTGCAAAAATTATAGGGGGAAAGTCTGTTGAGTGTACCTGGTAAAGTGTATGGTAGAGTTATAATTGAAAGAATTAAGAGTAAGACGGAGGAATTAGGATAGCAGATGAACAAGGAGGCTTTAGGAAGGTAGGGGGTGTGTGGACCAGGTGTTACAGTGAAACATATAAGTGAACAGTATTTAGATAAGGCTAAAGAGGTCTTTGTGGCATTTATGGATTTGGAAAAGGCGTATGACAGGGTGGATGGGGGCAATGTGGCAGATGTTGCAAGTGTATGGTGTAGGAGGTTAGGTTACTGAAAGCAGTGAAGAGTTTTTACGAGGATAGTGAGGCTCAAGTTAGAGTATGTAGGAAAGAGGGAAATTTTTTCCCAGTAAAAGTAGGCCTTAGACAAGGATGTGTGATGTCACCGTGGTTGATTAATATATTTATAGATGGGTTGTAAGAGAAGTAAATGCGAGGGTCTTGGCAAGAGGCGTGGAGTTAAAGATAAAGAATCACACACAAAGTGGGAGTTGTCACAGCTGCTCTTTGCTGATGACACTGTGCTCTTGGGAGATTCTGAAGAGAAGTTGCAGAAGATTGGTGGATGAATTTGGTAGGGTGTGCAAAAGAAGAAAATTAAAGGGAATACAGGAAAGAGTAAGGTTATGAGGATAACAAAAAGATTAGGTGATGAAAGATTGAATATCAGATTGGAGGGAGAGAGTATGGAGGGGGTGAACGTATTCGATTTTTGGGGAGTGGACCTGTCAGCGGATGGGTCTATGAAAGATGAGGTGAATCATAGAATTGATGAGGGAAAAAGAAGTGAGTGGTGCACTTAGGAGTCTGTGGAGACAA